GCTGTACATCACATTAGCATATGAATCTTAAAAAAGGAAAAGACGAACCTGAATTTTAAAATGACACCTTCTTTAGAAAAAATAGGTTAGGACACATTTTTTAATTATATGCTTGAAAGAAAGTTTACAATGTAGTGATATAATTTTCACTAAAAATTTGCCTAAAATTAGCACATTTTATATTCTTGTAATTATCATGAGCTTTCTGGGTTTTGTACCTCACATGTTTTCATTTTGCCACATTTGTCATTAGCTTTGAGCCTTCTGGGGTCTTTATATTTCCCCTTGTACAGACCCCAACTTCTCTGGCCTTCTCCTGAGGGCAAGGGAGTGAGGAGCGTGCTATGGGTGATTCTGGACAGAAACCTGGGGTTGTTGTAGGTCAGGCCACCACATCTCATCCCAATTATGTCCAACTCCCTTAATTAGAACTATTGTACATAATTTTTCTTTGTTCTTGAAGCATGTTGCCCTTTGTTGGTATACTTATCTTTAGTCATTTCACTGCCAGTCAAATATAGCTGAGGACACAGTTCCCTTTTGGGGTGGGGTAGGATTTTTTTTTCACCCACTTACAGGTTCATGGCTCAGGACTCAATAGCAAAAGAAAGATTAGCAATAAAAAGCATACACATTTACTTAATATAAATTTTAAGTGACATGAGAGTCCTCAAAAATGAAGACCCAAAGAAAGAAGGCGAGTTGTGCATTTTTACGCTTAGGCTTGATGAAGAGTGGATGGACATTGTGGGAAAAGAGTGTCTGACCTAACGGTAATGAATGGTGGGAACTTGGCAAGGCCTATTTGTTCAGATTCTTTTCTGCCTTCCGGAGTCTTCAGAGACAAGGCTGTTCCTTTCTACCAGGTATGGGGAGGCACCTCTGGAATGAATGAGGATCTTATGTCCTGCTTCAGGGAAGAAGGGTGTAAAATTCAGAGAGGGACCTTCCTGCTTCTACCATTTTCTCAAATGCCAAGGTGTCATATTTGGGGGTAGTATGGCCTGAACCATACCCTCTCATTTAAAAAATAGTTTCTGAAGTTTCTTCTATTTCTACAATTTCACTATTTAATCATTTTAAAGTTTTTGGTTCAATCCCTATGGTTTGAATTTTAGCATTTCTTAAATTCTTTACTGGGCAATGATTCTTTGCACACACTGTCCAAGTGTGTATTGTTTTAGTTCACTGCTGAAAGTGTGTTTTTCAGCTCTTTATTTTGCTTAGGTGGGTAAGAGTATAATTCTCTGTAAGCAAAAGTACCACAAGTTATATTTGCAAGATAAATTCATATTTCTTTTTTTAAATTTTGGGTATGATCTTGTCCTTGTGAAAGTCCCATGGCAACTATTTCATATTTTTCCTTCTCTAATTTCTGGGGACTTCCTAAACTTCTTTGTAAGTTACTATGGAAATCACTCAAATCACAAGATACTTTGTAGCTCCATTTTGTATCCTTTGACAACTTGCTTGGGAAAGAGGTAGTCTGTTTAGATTTTATTTTAATATGGGAGTTCCTGTTTTTCTATTTTTAGTACTTTTATACTGTGATTTCTATGTTTGTTTGTTTTTTCCTTGAAAGTTAGGTGGGGGGACATAGATTGCCCCTATGAGAATGAGTGGGAAAGGATAATTTTACAAACTAAAATATAAACAGTTTTTGTTTGTGGCAGTTGTACATGGGGAAATACATTGAATTAGCAACCACCTAATTCTTAGATTTTTGGAATAAGAATATATGTGACACTAGCTTCTTTTATATTATTCTTTTAAAAGGTTTTTAATGCTGCAGATGGCAGTAAAAATGCTTCCTGGACTCAAATAGCAATTATAAATGAGAAATTTCCAAATCAGAAACATTTGCACGAAATTTCTCATAAAATATGGTAGAGAGTTTACAAAGAATATTTGAACATAATTGCTGTCTTTTGTCACCAGCTGTCAGTGTTTTAAGAATTTATAATGATTTTAAGTTAAGCTATATTAGAAAGAAAAACCCCCCCAGACCCAAAGCAACCTAGTTTTCTATTTGAGTAAATACAATATACATAACCTAAGAGACCAAGAATATTTTAATTTTTAAGTCTGTTAGGACTAAGATGGGTGAGGGTTTGGAATAGAAAAGAAGATGAGAATTTCTGAGCCATGTACCTGCCCATGGGTGGGATATACACATTTGAAGGGTAAGGTGAGACTACCTAGGATAGCTGATTCTCAGGTAACACTTAGGGCATGAGTAAGTCAGCAACACTTGGGTAGAGTTGGAAATCAAATGGGATCTGAAAGGAATACCTAGTCTTCAAACAGTTAAGAACCAGGGTGAGTAAATATAGATAAATGGATTTTTGTTAGAGTAATAAAGTCTAGCAGGGTGTCCAAACTGCAGTCTATAGGCCACATGCAGATTTTGTAAGGATATTTTTTGCTTATGTGTGGTGTTGAAAGGTATGCACGAACATGGACTTTTTTTTTTTTTTTTTTTTTTGCTAATCACCTTTTGTTGGTGTTAATGTATTTAATGTGTGGCCCAAGACAACACTTCTGCCAACGCAGCAGAAGAAGAAAAAGGTTGAAAACCCCTGGTAGAGGAAGACACAGCCAACATGGGTTAAAGTGATACAAACCTAAGTGTGGCAAATTATATGAAGGTGTGCTCACGTGGAGGTCCAAGCTAAACCTGAGGACAATGAAGTCATGTAACCTGCTGCACTCCTGACTGGGGCCTCCAGAATTTCTCTGCTCACCTTCTGACATGGCCCTGTTTATTTACTTAGAAGAGCTCTCTTAATGATCGACAACTATTAGCCCCTCACTCGTTCCCTTCCCTTCCCCTCTACTATTCCTTCCTGTTTGAATACTCCCTTTTTTCTTTTTCACTGGCTCCTTGTTCCATTTCTTTTCTTCCTAAATGTTCTTTCTTGATACTTAAGGTATTCCTAAAGGTTAATCTATTTTCCCAAAGGGGATGACCATATCTTTAAGTACTTCACTAGTTCTCAGAATTTCTTTCCATAACTTCACACATTTTACATAAATTTGTTTGGTATGGGGGAGTATAAACATGAATATGATATACATTTATCCATTCATTTACTAATTTATCCAATAACTATGTACCAAGAGCCAGATACAACTTGAGAAACTGGTTATTGGAAATGATTAAGATGCATTTCTACTACTGTCTTCATTTTACTTTCCTATAACTTGCCAATTTGAATATATTTTACTTTGCCATATGGTATGTATCTCTGTATGTGACATCATATGCTCTTATTTTTTTGTCATGATGTATTCTATAAACAAATACAATTACATGTAATATAAATCTATGTTTAAGAAAGAAGAGTTTTGGCTCGGCACCTGTGGCTCAAGTGGCTAAGGCACCAGCCACATATACCTAAGGTGGTGGGTTCGAATCCAGCCTGGGCCCGCCAAACCACAATGAAGGCTACAACCAAAAAATAGCCAGCGTTGTGGTGGGCTCCTGTAGTCCCAGCTACTTGGGAGGCAGAGTCAGGAGACTCGCTTGGGCAGAGGAGTTAGAGGTTACTGTGAGCTGTGATGCCACAGCACACTACCCAGGGGGACAGCTTGAGGCTCTGTCTCAAAAAAACAAAAATAAAAATAAAAAAAAAAAAAAAAAGAAAGATGAGTTTTGAGGTGGGCGTCAATGGATGAGTAGGAGTTCAGGTAGCAAGGAGAAAAACAGGCAAAATACACAGCAGATGGAAAGGCATAAGGATATGAAGGAACTTTGCTTGTTCTGATAGTGGTTTGTAGTTTTTTGTGGGGCATAAAGTACCGGGAAAGCAATAGCAGGAAACTTCTTCTGGAAGGAAAAGAATTCCTAGTCACACTGTAGTCCATGAAAGAACTTGATTTTTTAAAATAGAGGTATGAAATCTTTGGCTCCTTGTTAGAAGAGTGTAATAGACTAATTGAAGTGGGAGAGGCCAAAAATTAGGAGACAACTGGAATGAGGGCCTGGACCAAGGTAATAGTGGAAGTGGTATATATGAAATGACCAATTTAAACAATACTGAAGACAGTGATATGACTTCAAGAATGTGGGGTCCCGGCTGACTTCCATGTGGATGTTCTCACTCCCACAGACACTGGATGCATGGGCCTCAGATATAACTTAGAATCTTTTTTTTTTTTTTTGAGACAGAGTCTCACTTGGTCACCCTTGGTAGAGTGCTCTGGCATCTTAGTTCACAGTAACCTCAAGGTCTTGGGTTCAAGTGATCCTCTTGCTTCAGCTTCCCAAGTAGCTGGGACTATAGGCACCCACCACGATGCCCAGCTATTTTTAAGAGATGGGGTCTCACTCTGGCTCAGGCTGGTCTCGAACCTGTGAGCTCAGGCAATCCACCTGCCTCAGCATCCTAAGTGTTGGGATTACAGGTGTGAGCCACTGAACCTGGCCATAAATTAGAATCTTTTTGTGGACAAAAAATCACCAGTGCAAAAGAGTGAATTAGCCATAGTTTACCTTCTCTCACAATGTGGCATGGGCTTCGGTTCCCAATGTCTCAGGCAATGCCTGATTGTCAACCATGAGATCCTAATGCTGAGCACTGTGTGTGAATAGACAGTAGCATGGCGTGAGGTAAGGAATTCTGGGCTCACCTGCTAGGCTAACAGTAACTAGAGGTGTGAATTTCAGCAATCACCTACTGTCTTTGGACTTCAGTTTCTCATCTTTAAAGTTTGTTTCATGTGGGGTGAGGGGCATGTGGGGTGAGGGGAAGAGTACTCAGATGACATTTAAGTTTTCTTCAGCTCTATCAACTTATGAGTAAACGCTCATATTTTTTCCCCAAGCTAGTTTCCCCTTCTGACTAGACTGCTATTTCCTGGAAGTCAGTGACTGCTGTGCTCATCTCTGGATCCCAATTACCTGGCCTAGAAAGTGTGGAATTAATGCTATTGGATAAGTGACTGATTGAATGAATGACCTTCATATTTCATTAACAACACTGTATCTTCTGGTGGAGATGGCTACGGCCGTGGCGGGGCATCTGCGAGGAGGTCTCCTGCCCCAAGCGGGCCAGCTCCCTACCCTCCAGAGTGTATGCCATGGTTCTAAGGCTGTTACCCGCCACTGGCGTGTGATGCACTTTGAGCGACAGAAGCTGATGGCTGTGACTGAGTATATCCCCCCCCAAACATGTTGTCAACCCTAGATGCCTGCCACCTCCTCCAAGCCCTCCCAAGGAGGAAACAGACTTCATCCGACTCCTTCGCCGAGAGGTAGCACAAGTCTTCCAAGACAACCGAATGATAGCCGTCTGCCAGAATGTGGCCATCAGTGCAGAAGATAAGCTGCTTATGCGGCACCAACTTCGGAAACACAAGATCCTAATGAAGATCTTCCCCAGCGAGGTTTTGAAGCCTTTTCTGAAGGAGTCCAAGTATCAAAACCTGCTGCCCCTTTTTGTGGGGCACAACCTGCTGCTGGTGAGTGAAGAGCCCAAGGTCAAGGAGATGGTCCGGATCTTAAGGATTATGCCTTTCCTGCCGCTGCTAGGTGACTGTATTGATGACACCATCCTCAGCAGGCAGGGCTTCATCAACTACTCCAAGCTGCCCAGCCTGGCCCTGGTACAAGGGGAGCTGGTAGGAGGCCTCACGCTCCTCACAGCCCAGACCCACTCCCTACTTCAGCACCAGCCCCTCCAGCTGACCACCTTGTTGGACCAGTACGTCAGACAGCAACGTGAGGGGGACTCTGTTGTTTCAGCCAGTGGGAAGCCACATCCTCCTGACCCTGTTGCAGCCTCGTAGCCAGCCTGTTCTCCTCAGCCCTGCCAGTGAACACACTCTGCCATGTTGGCTCTCCTGTCCTCCGTGGGAGATGTTGAAGAACTTGGGTCGGGGAGTGGCATGTGTTACTTGGGCTTCCACTAACAACAACCTCCTCGGGTTCAGGACCATCTGGAGATGCAGAATGGAGGCCGTCTCAGAATGACAGCTGTTAGTCATTGTAAAAAAAAAAAACAAAACAACAACACTGTATAATCCATTCCTTCTGTTTCCTGGGATTAACACTTTAGAGCATCCGCCTTCTACTTGCCCTCTCCCCACCTTACCCTTGCCTGTTAAATCGGGACACAATTCTTCCCTCTGAGTGGCCTGTTTTTTCACCTCCAGATAGTCCCCTCAATCTCATCACTTCACCTTAAATTAAGACTATTGTAAGAGTATAGTCACTTTCTGTTGTAGTCTCTTTCTCCTAAACCCACACCAAATACTACCACCACATTAAGCTTCTTTTGAAAGCTTTGTGGCTTAAGCTCTCAAATGTCTATTGGGTACATTCACATTCAATGCTTGTCATACTTGGGCTCCCACCTGCATTGACTGGAATTCTCCACTTGACCTGTTATTTGTGGTCTAGACACTCTCTCATTCCCATCCCTTATGTTGCTTATTGCTATTCCCTCTTTACTATCTAAGAGCAATTGCAATTCATTGGTCAAGGCCCAGCTTCTTGTTTCTCCATTAACACTACCACCACCACCACCAACTCCCCTTACGACCCAGAAGTCTTTTCAGCCTATATTTTAGCCCACAGTGTTGTCACTCATCTGACAAATTATAGTACCACATACTTTATTAGGGTATTTCTCATGTCATTGTCTTATTGCATGCTTATGGTTCATCATCCCAAGTATCTTGTAAGCTGGGGAATATGGGTGGGGAATATGCCTATGTTTCTTGTAAACTGGGGAATATGCCTATGTTTCCTTGTGCTGCTCGTTGTCTAATGTCTGTTCTTGCAACAGCAGCAAGAACAATAGCTAAAGTTGATTGATCACTTACGTGTGCTGGTTATGGTGTCCAGCCCTTGATATTCATTATCTCTTTGAATACTCAAAACTACCATATGTGATGACTACTATCATTACCACCACTCCTCAGGTGGGAAAACTAAAGCTTAGGAAAGTTAACTAATTTGCTTTAGGCCACCTATAAAGTGACAGAATCTAGTTCAGTTTTTACCTGTCATAGGTTCCCCAAAGGTTGAATTATTAGTTGTTAAGAGATATAGCAGATTTTCTCCCCTCCAAATGACTAAAAAATGGGTGTTAAGAAAGTTGATAGTTTTGAAGTAAGCTCTGAAACAGTTTTGAGGAGATTTAGATGCCAGTACCAGGGAGAGGCCCGTCGGTGAGGGTAAAGAATTGTTAAGGTGAGGTTTAATATCAGAACCATTTCAGGGAAAACAGCAAAATGTAAATACCCTGGGTCAATAACCTACAGAAAAGGAGGAAGCACTACTGAAAGATAGAGCTTATGTTTATTTAGCTAGGATATTTAGTTAGTATGGAAAAGTTTCAGTGAGATTTTAAAGAGTAAGCATGTTAGTTAAAATTAAGACAATATTTTATAATAGGAAAATTGTGACTATGAGTAATATGATTCAATTACACGGAATAGGTTATGGATGATTGTAATGTATTTAGGGCCTAAGAGAGAGTTCAGGCTACATTCCGGGTCCATTCTTACCCTTGGGAACCCTAAAGTGGGAAGAATAAACTTCTATTTTCTATTCAAGAGACTCTGCCAGGAGTCTCCCAGAGCTTCTCAGAGTGGAACAACCACAGTAGAGACGTAGAGGCCCACTGGCTTCAGAACTCAAATGAAGCATCTCTTCATCTGAGGAAGCCGTCTGTGACAGGCATCTTGTCATGGTCTGTTCTGGCATTTTGACAACTAACACTCAGGTTACAATTCACCAAAGGGCATAACCTGAGAGAACCAGGTACCGACCATTTTTCTTGCACTAGAAATGGAGGAGGCAATGGGGAATTATGGGCTCTGGTCAACAACCAGAGAGGGACCTCCCAGATTCCAAAGCCTAAGATCCCTGGCATGAAGTATGACAATCGACACTGAGCATTTAGTCAATGCACAAATGCAGTGTTTGACACTTCACACATTAGCTCATGTAATATTCACACTCCTGTGAGGAGGAAATGACTTGGGGAGGTTAAAGAACTTATGCAAGTCCCACAGCTGAGAAGTAGCAAGGTGCAGATTCACAGCTAGATCTTTTCACTCTGAAGTGCATACATATTGCTTTCAGTTTACCAAGAAAAATGCCTTGTCCCCTCAACTCTAACCTCAGCTCTGCTACTAACCAGCTATGTGACTTTGGTAGGCTTCACAGTGCCTCCAACACTGTGATCCTGTCTCTGATTATATTACCTAATGGAGGACTAGGAAAAATCCAAAGGTAGAAATGATGTGTCTGATCCCAATCTGGCCTTTCAGCTTAATTTTTTGTACCATTAAGATCAGATAACAGGCACAAAAGAATCAAAACAGAGAATTTATAGGAGGCCCAGTTTCACTTGGCTTGGAAGGAAAGTATTCCTGCAACAGCAGAACAGATAAGCTGCCCAGGGAGAGACAGGCAAGGATCAGCAGACTTTCCCAATCTCACTTCTCCTCTTCTGGCCTCTCTTGTTATGCAAGCTGGGACAGGCCAGGGATTTTGGGTCTTTGCTCCCCTGATTTATAAAGAGGTGGTATATGCCTAAGCTAAATGATCTGAGAGATCAGGAAAAAAGTAATAGAAGATGCATAATGCTGTATATCTCCTAAAAAACAAAAAAAAACCTTGGTTGTTTTCACATGGGGGCTGCAGAGATTATATGGAAATCATTATTGTCATGTATCACTTAATGAGGGGGATATGTGAGAAATACATTGTTGGACAATTTTGTCATTTTGCAAATATCCCAGAGTGTACTTACATAAACTTGATGGTACAGCCTCCCAGACACCTAGGCTACAAACCCATGGACCATATTATTGTACTGAAGACTGTAGACAATTATAATACAATGGTAAGCGTATGTGTATCTAAACATAGAAAAAGAACAATAAAAATACAATATAAAAGTTTAAAAATGGTACACTTGTATAGGGCACTTACCAAATATGGAGCTTACAGAACTGGAAGTTGCCCTAGGTAAGCCAGTAACAGAGTGGTGAGTGAAGGTGAAGACTGAAGACATTATTGTACACCACTGTAGACTTTGTAAACACTGTACACCTAGGCTACTCTATAATGAATTAGACTTAACTTACTATAACCTTCTTATTTATGAACTTATACATCTTTTAAAAATATTTTTACTCCTGTAATAGTACTTAGCTTAAAACACAAATGCCTTATACAGCTGTATAAAATATTTTCTTTCTATCATTATTTCATAAGCCTTTTTCTATTTTTAATTTTTTCTGAGAAAGAGTTTTGCTCTGTCACATGGGCTGGAGTGCTATGAGTCTAGCTTGCAGCAACCTCAAACTCCTGGGCTCAAGAAATCCTCCTACTTCAGCCTCCCAAGTACCTGGGACTATAGGTGTGAGCCATTATGCTTGGCTAATTTTCCTATTTTTAGTAGAGATGGGGTCTCACTTTATTCAGGCTGGTCTCAACCCCTGAGCTGAAGGGATCCTTCTGCAGCAGCCTCCCATTTTTAATTTTTTTTTAAATTTTTACTTTTTAAAAGTTTTGCTAAAAGTCACAAACATACACATTATAGACAGGGTCAGGATCATCAGTATCACCATCTTCCACCTCCACATTTTGTCCCAGTGGAAGGTCTTCAGAGGCAATAACATACATGGTGCTGTCAACTCCTGTGATGACAATGGAACACCTCCTAAAGGAACTGCATGAGCTATTTTATAGTTAACTTTTCTTTTATTCTCTGCAAAATAATCAGAAAAGCAAATATAGAAGGTGCCAAAAAATGTATGCACTTTTTTAAAAAGGAAAAAACTATATTAAACTTATAATACTCAATATATGCCGATAACATTTGTTATCATGCATATTGTATCTCTTGTAATCACAGAAGTTAAATGTGACTTGAGTATTAATTACAATTTCAAATCAGTTTTTTCCTTTCTTAAAATGCATATGCCTTTTTTTTTGGCACCCTCTGTATAGTACAACATATACACAGACCAGCAGTGCAGTTGTTAACAACCATTATCAAGTATATTGTGTTCACGACATAATTGTATGGCTGGGCCTCCATACCACTGGTGCACGGTAGCTTTGTTTACACCAGCATTACCACAAACATGTGAGCAGACTGCACTATGGTATGACAACAGCTTCACTGTCTCTAGGAGCTAGAAGTTTCTCAGCTCCATTATAATCATATGAGACCGCTGTCATATGTGCAATCATTGCCCCAAATGTCATCATGTGGTGTATGACTGTAGTAGTGAGAAGTGCTGAGACCACAATGGGAGGGGACATTCAATGACAACAGCAGGTTCCTTTTGCCAGTTTGAATTAGTTTAATCTAATTTTAAAGTAATAAAGAAAGGGAATAAGGTGGTGAGTGAAGGTGAAGGCTGAAGACATTATTGTACACCACTGTAGACTGTGTGAAGACTGTACACCTAGGCTACACTAAACTCTATTATGAATTAGACTTAGCTGACTATAACCTTCTTATTTATGAACTTATGCCACACCATGGATGAATCTGGGAGACCCCAAAGATAGAGGGATCTGTTTAAAGCACAGCACTTTTTTATTGGCAAGTAGAAAGTTCTCGGTCCATGAGAGCTTTGCCAATAGATTCCATCATTATTGCTGCTACTTCTAAAAGTGAGAATAGATGCGAAGGACCTCTTTCACAGTGCCCACCTTCAGGCAGACTCAGTAAAATATTAATGCCCTGTCCTCTAAATGAGAGTTGTGCTTTTTTCCTTTTCATTAGAAAAATATTACAAAGTAAAAAATGGTTTATACTAGCAAAGCAGGGAATTCAAAACTCACTCCGTCACATTCATGTACTGTGCACCCAACTGAAATGGAGATATTATTACTATAAATTAGAGGACTCAGATTCAACAGATAATTTTCTCTTTCCAAGAAATCAGGAGAATACATTTTACTCCCTTGTCCGGTAGTGGCCCTCTCTTCCAG